CGATGATGATGATGATGATGATGACCAATGGTCCGATGATTCAACTGATAGCGAAATGGTTGATCAGAGCGATGAGGACTTAGTGTCACTCTACATACAAGTAAAAAAACCGATTGCGCGTCAAAATAAAACTCAAAGGGAATTAAAGAGATCGGCTGTTCGTCGTTTAGTCGAAGGACGTTATGTAAAATTATCACAATCGCCGGTGGCGATAAAGAATAATACAGATAAATTGTCATCTCCGTGGGAGAAAAACGATTTTTTCAAGGCCTACTGCGAATTCGATGATTTATCTTCAGGCGTCGACGACGACGAAGATTCTGCCGACCAGGATAATTATTACGTGGATTTTTTATCGAAAAATCTATCGAACAATGATTAATGCCAAATCGAATATTTTAACCTATCATTTAAACGTTTTTTAAAATTTTTAATTTCTATTGATTTTAACGAATTATATATAAAATATTGAAGCTAAATTATAGAGTTTGTCTAATATTATTTATTATAAAGTCAAATATGTATAGATTTGTTTTAATGATTTTAGTGATTTTACTTCAGTTAGGATACATATTTGTGCGAAGAAATCATCAGAAAGAACCTGAAACTTATTCCTAAAAAAATATACTGATGTACAAAGTTTCCCTGAGTTAAACAATAAAATATTTTATTTATAAAAAATACATAAATACTTGAAGTAATAATAATTTTAATAAAATATCCCGGAATTTAACTTTTTATTATCTAATTATTTTTCATAATTATAAAATTCAAGAATAATAAATTACCTTTATAAAATTAACAAAATAATATATAATAATAACTATAAAAAAACATTAAAAATTATGTTTGAATATTGAAAAAAAATTATAAAATATGTAAAAAAAAAAGCTTAAAATTGACTATGATTTTTGGGCTAACTTTTGTAATGGGTTTTTATTAATGAAATTTATATACCTATTAAGAATATATTATCTAAAATTAATTTTTCAGACAATATATCAATTTTATTTATTTAGTTGGAGGAGTTTCACATTTATATGGTTTATAAATTATATAAATATAATTTATATATCATACTTTGACTTAGAATTATATCTTAATTTCAAAAGTTATTTAACTAGTTATGATGTAGAATTATTATTCAAAAAAATAATTAAATAAAAAACATTAAATAAATCTTATTAACAAAACTTGTAAGTACATAAGAAATCACAATTTTTAAAATAAAAACGTAAACAAATTGTTATCATCATAATTATGGTTTGTTATATTAAAATCCAGTAAATTCTTTGTGCAATTGCGTTTCATGTGATCAGATTTATACTTGTATGGGTATAATTTTTATTGTAATGGAAATATTTCAAACGTTAATTTTATGTAGTAACTTTTTTATTACAAGCACGTTTTGAAAAATAATCACTAATGTTTGTGTTGGATATAAGAGTTGAGATTGATTTTCGAAAAACATATGGAACTGAATACTTAAAAAAATTATAGTATCAGTATTATACGTCCTACAAAAATCAAGCTGAACACTTATAGTTGACTTTCTTTAATTAAAACGTAGATATTTAGGTACTTAGTTATTCAAGTACTTGTAATGGAAAATTCACAAATATTTTGAAAATTATAATTGGTCACTCGGTTTGAAAGTAAAAAATAAAACCCAATTATAAATAGTATAGGTACTTCTAGAAAATTATAATACTATGATAAAGTTATTAGTAACAATATAATATAAACCTTAATCTACGACTGGCGTAATTTATAAAACAGATCAAAAAAATAGATACAGTTTACTTATAAATAACCCTTAGGTTTGTATGGTGGTCTATTGGAGACGATTATCAAACAATTTTTAACCGAATATAAGGTGATAAAAATTTACATAGCTTACATCGCACGTAATGCTATTAACATTGAGGTGTTAGATTTGTTTTGTTTTAGTGTTTTTTGCATTGAGTTCATGTGATTTATTAAATAAGATAAAATGCATTCTATGTGTAAAAATGGCACTGGAAAAAGGCGCCTACGAGAGACAAAACTTTTTAAAATCACAGACTCAACTTCAAAACAATTAAGATTAACAAACTTGTAAACATGTTAACACCAAGTGTTTTTTTTAAATTTATTTGTATTTATTATGTTATAAATATAAAAATATCAACAAGTTTTTTGTTTTTAGCAAAAATGAACATAATAAAAAAAAAAAATGAAAATTTTTATTTCAATATAGCTGTTTTATTGCTACTATAGATAACATGAGATTATGATCTTTTCCATAAATATGACACCGAGGAGTAATTTTTGAAAAGATTAAAAATACAAAATTAAATGATGAGAAAAAAAAAATCATCGAGGAATTAGGTGTGAATGGATAAAAATCTCAATGGATCCTTTTTTCTCATCCGACGCTGAAATGTACTAAAAAAATACTAAGATAACTTTTCCGAATTATTGACATTTAGTATATTTTTTTCTCATGATTACGTTTTCCCAGGTTATTTTCTATGTAAAAAACTAAAATTTGATACATTTGAATCCCCACAAAATTATCTACGATTTATTGGTAATTTAAATATTTAATCAAACAATTTTACTAATTTTAAGTCGAAACAATGAAGTAAATAGTTTTCACTGGCTTAGGGATGTTATTTACTTTGAAAAGGAAGGGTAAAATCGATCTGGTGTCTGAGCTGTTATCAGGTAGCTGTTGGGTCGTTTCCACTTACGTATATCCTCTAAATGACCTTTGATTGTATATTAACCGAACGAGTGATAATAGCATACTAGTAGTCCATCTTGGTTAAGTGTTTCATGTATTATTCAAGTCCCAATGATCAAATATAATGTTACTTGGGCAATAACATCTACACTCAAGTATGTTTAAATGCACAATGCTATAGTATAGGAACGCCGTATCAGTACACTTCATCAGAAAGTTAATGTAATCAAAAGATAATCCATACAAAACGGTAATTCGATCTAACAGAATTATTTATGTAAATCTACCTTATAATATTTGAATTGAACATACTAAAATCAAATTTTTATTTGATTTGTTGGAATTCAATTTAAATCGTATTCTTTATTTTGAGCTAAATTTTTAATTAATTAACAGTACACGTGTTACACGTGTTCGTAGTATTTATTCTTTTCGTTTATAAAATAGTTTGGCTAAATGATAACACTAGTTGCCTAGCAAATTTATGTTTGTTTAAATCATAACAAATGTGTAAAAATTTTTAAATTGAATTTCGTGTGCAACAATATGCATTAAAATTGCCACTACTCGGTTAGACCGTCGAACTAAATGAGTATGCACAAATGGTACACATATCCTGGATATCTTGCCACGATAATATTCATAGCAGTTTTAACGAGAAAATTTGCCACGAACATTCTTTCTGTTTACAAGATGGGCTTAGGTAATTATTAAAAATAACAATCTCGAATATTTACTCATAAGATTACGATGAAAATATGCAAAGCCATTATGTTAATCGAAACCATCATTTTTATAATATTTTCAATAGTTAGTCGAATATTATAAAATCAAATTGATTTTCTATTATGAAGAATGACATTAATTTATTATTAACATTTATAGTTATTCGTTTCGATCGAAATTGAACTGATTTTTAGTTTAATGAACTTAATAAGCAAATTAATGTTCATTAAGTAACTCATTTTTTTTTAATGGTTTAAATTTTATATAAAAAAAATATTATATTACAATTGAAAAATGTTATTAGGAGACGTAAAAAAAATGCATAAATTTGAATTAAAATAAAAAAAGGATTTTTTATTGTAAATATAATAAAATAATTCCATTTATTTAAAAATAAGGACTTTTATAATTTATATGTCTCATAATTATTAACTTAAAATTTTTTTAAGGAACAAATGTTTCAAATCATAATTCGATTAAAAATATTTTTAATAAGTATTATTACAAAACAATATTTTATGTAATTATTTTTTAAGTTTTTGTATAAGATTTAGATACTTTATAAATGAGTATATATTATTTTATACTTCCCATTTAATAAAAAAAAATTATTTACTTTATCTAAATCAACTGGATTTTTTTCCTAGTTTTTCTTATAAAATATTGAAAAATTCTTAGCATATTAGAAAGAAAGCTAATTCTCTGAATTTTTTAATCTTGTCATGTGCATTCATTGTGTTTAGATGACGAAGAGCAGACTAACACGCACTTATATATCACCGATGATGATGATGATGATGATGA